GACCTGCGCCGGCCGTGGGCGGCCGCCGCGATCGAGCGTAAGGTGTTGCGATAACATTGGGGTCAGTTACGCGGACGATGTGGCCGATAGTGTGTAGAAAGGGTTGACACCTTGCTTCAATGCGTCTTCAATGCTAACAGCCTCAATGCTTCTTCATTCGCAACGTTGCACACCTCCCGCTGTGTAACGTCGCGAATGAAGAAGGATCGAGGCTCTACGCACGGTATCACGTTGAACTCTAAACGAAGTGAATTTTACATTGCTTACGAGACATTAACTGACAGATGAGAACTTCAGTCATGCTAAGCAAGGGCAACGATGCTCTGCTCAAACATATAGACCCTTGAAACCATCCAAAAGCGATGCCCTTCAGATGTCAGCTTTTTTATTTAAAAAGAATGTTCCACACTTGAAGATATTAAAGCAAGATGTTGGAAGATATTGACTGCCTCCGCAAACTAGTCTGCACATCTTCAGAGGCGCAGGTTTGCCTCTAGTTTCCCATAGGTGCAACTTAACCAACACATTAGCTGGTCCCATACCCATGTCATGCGCGCCATGCGCCACATCTCTTAATTCAAAAAAAAAATAATGCCAACAGTTTAATTCGCACGCAGTTTTAAATGGCGGTATATGATTCGAAATATCCTTTCAGATTCAACATGTATTGGGAGAAAGACAATCCAACATCACCAACTGTTATGTATTTAGCTGTTGCTGCAACGAGGTCAACGGCTACAAGACGCACAGTTTTCGAGCAGTTTCGGCCAAAAACTATTACTTCGGGCCCGTGTGCCCATTTCACTGTTAACATGTCGAGCCAAATCTTCTCACAGGATCACGTGCCATTTTCAAACCCCAGGTCGAACATCCTTTTTAGATTAATAACCGATGCAAAAATAAACACACCCGCCCGTTAGAGTGCATGCAATTGGATCGATCGATGAATTTACCAGGCTGATGAACCGGTGATAAGGGACGGTTGAGGGCGTGCACCAAGTGAAGGAAAAATCCAACTCTGTGTGACATTATAATGAGATAAATAATTGTTGTCAAGACTTTCTGCTTCCTACATTAGGCTCCTCATTACTGATCAATGTTGATACAATGACCACATATCAAAATGTTGTAATTCGTGAGTGGCCTGCGCTAATAAACTAGATGACTCAGTACTGACCAGCAAGCCCGTCGCATGGCACGCAGCGGAACCTGTCACCCGCAGAGCATCTTTTCGCTGTTGTGGCGGAGGAACAGACGGCTAGCTAGCAAGACGCTGCTCTTAAAGCGCTTGTACGCACCGGCCTGCACCCCATACTCAATCTGGAACAAGAGTGGCAGCCGGGCTACCGGTCTGATGCGCCTTGCCGGCTCTGTAGCTCCCTCCCGGGTCATGTCGACGCTCCACCGACCCTGCAGCTCTCTCCCGGGTCATGGCGACACTCCACCAACCCTGCAGCTCTCTCCTGGGTCATGTCGACGCTACACCGACCCTGCAGCTCTCTTTTGGGTCATGTCGACGCTCCACCGACCCTGCAGCTCTCTCCCGGGTCATGTCGACGCTCCACCGACCCTGCAGCTCTCTCCCGGGTCATGTCGACGCTCCACCGACCCTGCAGCTCTCTCCCGGGTCATGTCGACGCTACACCGACCCTGCAGCTCTCTTTTGGGTCATGTCGACGCTACACCGACCCTGCAGCTCTCTCCCGGGTCATGTCGACACTCCACCGACCCTGCAGCTCTCTCCCGGGTCATGTCGACACTCCACCGACCCTGCAGCTCTCTCCCGGGTCATGTCGACACTCCACCGACCCTGCAGCTCTCTCCCGGGTCATGTCGACGCTCCACCGACCCTGCAGCTCTCTCCCGGGTCATGGCGACGCTCCACCGACCCTGCAGCTCTCTCCCGGGTCATGTCGACGCTCCACCAGCCCTGCAGCTCTCTCCCGGGTCATGGCGACGCTCCACCGACCCTGCAGCTCTCTCCCGGGTCATGGCGACGCTCCACCGACCCTGCAGCTCTCTTTTTGGTCATGTCGACGCTCCACCGACCCTGCAGCTCCCTCCTGGGTTATGTCAACGCTTTACCGACCTTGCAGCTCTTTTTCGGGTCATGTCGACGCTCTACCAACTCTGCAGCTCTCTTTCGGGATATGTCGACGCTCTACCGACCCTGCAGCTCTCTTTCGGGTCATGTCGACGCTCTACCGGCCTTGCAGCTCTTCCCCGGGTCATGTCGACGCTCTACCGACCCTGCAGCTCTCTTTCGGGTCATGTCGACGCTCTACCAGCCCTGCAGCTCTCTCCCGGGTCATGTTGACGCTCTATCGGCCCTGCAGCTCTTCCCTCGGCGATGTGCCGACGGCTCTACTTCCGACGCATCATGCCTCGTTTCGTTGGCACTTCTCCCTCAATGACTTATCCCCCGCGGCTAGTAAGAATTGGCGGAGAGCGGGTAATGAGACACTTCATGAGGACTTCACAACAGCGAGTTGTTGCATCATTTAGAGCATATGTCAGAGACGCGCCGCACTGAGACGCTGTAGCTTCCATTGAGCGGTGTTTGGTGCATACATTGCGGACCTTTTGAGTCTACTCACTGAATGCATGCCCTTTTGACGCGCCTGTGCGCGTCGCATTCTGGCCGCCAGAGGTGGCGGACGGGCGAGAGGCTCCCCCAGCGCTGATCCGTGAGCTCGTTCGGCGCCATTATGCCCGCGCCGCGCTCCCCGGTCGCACGCGTCATCCCTGCGTAACAAGAGCTAACAACGGGCTGGGCGGCGTCAACCACAGGCCTGCCGCGCTTCTCCGGCCGCGTCCGGTGACGGAACGGTCTCAGCGATCTGCGCGAGGCTGCCGGCGGGGGACTGGACGGCGGGCCACGCTGGTCTGGGCTGCTGCGTGCAAGGAGGCGCACCACGCCGGCGAAGACTCTCGGGTGCAGCGGGGTAAAGCGGGGATTGCTGGGATGCAGTTTGGTACACTACGCTGGTAGGGCTCCTGGGGCACAGTTTGGCTTACTAGGCTGGTAGGGCTACTGGGGCACAGTTTGGCTTACTAGGTCGGCGGGGCTGCTGGGGAACAGTTTGATGCACTGGGCCCATTGGGCTGCTGGGCACAATTTGACTTACTAGGCCGGTAGGGCTACTGGGGCGCAGGTTGTCTTACTAGGCTGGTAGCACTGCTGGCGCACAGTTCGCCTTACTAGGTCGGCGAGGCTGCTGGGGCACAGTTTGATTCACTGGTCCCATGTGGCTGCTGGGGCACAGTTTGACTTACTACGTCGGTAGGGCTACTGGGACACAGTTTGACCCACTGCGCCCATGGGGCTGCTGGAGCACAGCTTGGCACATCGTGCTGGTGTGCCCGTGACGCACGTCACACATTGGGAGCACGCCGTCCTAGCGCGGCCTCTGGAACACTGTGAGGCTCACCTGCCGGGTAGGCCATCTTATAATGTGGTACACCCGCTGACATGAGGGTGATGGAGTACAGTGAGGCGCACCACGCCGGTGCAGGCGCTGCTGCTGCTGCATCACAGTAGCGGGAAGCTGCTGGGATGCAGTGAGCCACACCACGCTGGCTGAGGCTTCCGAGGTACGGCGAGGCCAGACACACCGACGTGGGATTCAGAACTCCGGTGAAATGCAACATACTGGTGGGTCTTGGGTGCAGTGAAGCTCACCCGCGTTACTGGGAGCTCTTGGGGTAGCCGAAGCCCATCGTGCTGACGGACAGCTCAGGATACAGTGATGCGCAGTGTTGTAAACCATGCTGCTGATGCTGCAGGGGCGCCATGTAGTCTGCTCTGGTACGGTGAGGTAGCATGTTGCTGCAGCCTCTTGGGGCGTGTTGGGCACAGTGTGTGTTCTGGGGTACAGTGTGTGTTCTGGGGTACAGTGTGTAATCTGAGGTACAGTCGGGTACTTAATCCCGACTGGAGACTGTTGAGACACAATGAGAAACACCAAACCCCTAAGTCTTCAGTGCACTGCGAAGTACGCTGCAATGACAGAAAGGCTCTGGGATGCGATGACAGACACGAGAATTACAGGAAGCTTCTGGGTTATGATGAGGTTCACCACAATGGCAGACAGCTCCTGGGATACGATAAGGTACACCGCGCTGGTGTCTGCTCCTAGATACATTGAGATCAAACTGAGAGACCGCACTGTTACAGACCTCCGTTCCACAGTGAGAGACACCACACTAGTAGCTGAAGTAAGCTGCACCCACACTGGGGGGGGGGGGGGGGGATGGGGAGGGGCTCCTGGGGTAAATGAGGCACGAAACGTTGCTGGGGCCTATAGGGTGTAGTACGTCCAGGTGCGCTGTACAAGTGGGCGCTTCTGGGGTACATCGTGATTTGCTGGATACAGCAAGGTACATAACGTTTCTCTGGTCTTCTATGGTTCGTTGGGGTACGGTGTGGGTTGTGTGGTGCAGTGAGGTGTACCACGCTAGTTGGTGGGTACTGGAACGTAATGATGCTCACCACTCTTCTAGCTGCGTATTGAAATACACCACGCTGGCGGGGCTGTCAGAAAATGGCCAGGTATGTACATACCCACTGATTTGCAACTGCTGGGACACATGAGTGACACTACGCTGGTGGTGGGGGTGGAGGGGGTGGGGGTGGAGACTCTGCTGTACAACACTGAAACCACACTGGCGAAGAGCTGCTGGGGTACGAGATGCATCACTGGCGGGATTGCTGGGTGAAACCGAGTGCTCCACGCTCAGAGGCAATGTTGAAGTCATTGCCATATTTGGTGGAGGCAGTGTCTTCATTCCCAGAGCCAGTGGCGTGAGACAGCCCGGCAGGGGGCGTCACCACACACCGACAGCTGCTGCCAGGAGACAGGCTTGCCGACGCCGACGGCAGCCGCCACTCGCAGCCACGCCGAGCGCTGAGCTCCCAGTGCCGCGCAGCTGCAGGCGCAGGCGCCCGCGGTCGCGGAGGAGGCCGAGGGCACGACGGAAGGGGCAGCCAGTCGCCGGCATCAGGCCATGAAGGCGATGAGACTGACGATCCAGGGTACGGCCCACCAGGCGGAGAGCGCCGCCTCCCCCGCGGAGGGCCGACGCCGCAGTAGTCCTGTGGGTGGCGCGCGGCTCAGACACGTCACGTGACAAGACGAGGCAGGACGGCTCGCGATTCATCCATCTCCAACTGCCAGCGAGCCCGCACACAAGTTCTCAAGTACAGGAAACAATCGCTGCAGCTGTAGTGTAGAGCTGACGTTAAGCGCCTCATTCCTCAAAAGGCAGCATCTGATGCCCGCTCCGCACTGGTCACTGTATACTGTCAATAGTGGAATCGTGTGGTGAGATTCTCATTAATGCCGCTGGAAGTACGCGAACACGGGATCTGACTACGCTACGGCGGGAGGACTTAAAGATGTTTTCTGAGTGTGATTGACCTGCGGGCTTATGACTGCGTACGTCCAGATGGTGTCGACCACCTTCGATGGCTCAAATTTGCTTATCAACCCTCCCCTAAGGCTACATGGTGTTCAGAGGTTTGTTGGCCCCATCTCTTCATAAGCTCTCTTGCGAAGGTGACGTCACTGATTCTTTGATCCAACCATGAGCGTTGCCTTTCTCCCCCTGCAGGTGGTGCCCCCAAACCACACACAGCACACACTCCAGACAGGTGCAGGCACTACATCCGACCGGAGGCACACCGCCGCCAGCGGCCGTCGGCGCCGCCGGCAGTCGGGACGTACCGCGCCCGGGCTGGGGCCGCTGCAGCGTCTCCCGCAGGCTGGGCATCATCTCGTTCCAGAATGCGCAGCCGGTGGCGCGCGGCCCGTTGCCCAGCCCCCGCACGCGTCCGTCGAAGATGTAGTACTGCGGCTGGTTTCGGGAGTATATTGGCCAGCTGACGCCCTCACGGACGGGGCTCCTGCGGGGCAGAGGTCACGCTGTGACGTCAGACCACCGGCTCTGCGGTAGAGGCCTTCACGGGTAAGGTTTCTTGTACCCAATCCACCCAACCCAACGGCTGTCAGCAAACAAAACTTGGCAGATCATTTTCCGAAAACGCGCATGTCACGCCCTCATCTCTCATGATATAATGCACACGGTTGTTTACACTTTACTTGGGGACAGACTGATCTAGACCTGTGGCTAGATGCGAAAACCCACAGAGTTCCGTGTTTACGAAATCCTGGCACCTGATCTTGGGCTCTTTTGGGGATGCATGTCCATAGGTACATGCCCGTGAACATGTGCATAGGTATATGTCCGCGTGTGGTTTTTCGTTCTCTGGGACATAATCTTAGACGAGATCTTCCACAAACTCAGCTGGAGGGTTTGCCAACTCCTCACAGGCCTTCTGTCTGACCTGCCCTCTTGTGCACGACAGAGCCGAAACTTTCGAGCAAGAGCTCACGTATTCGCGTCACTTGCATTTTACCTGGCATTATCAAAATAAAGAATGACACGACATAAGGATCCCGCGAAAAGGTATGAAAAATGTAAAACCTGAACTTATGGGCAATTTGGCTAGTGGGCGACTGCGATTAGGTAGCAATTGTTTGTTGATTATAGTGTCAATGTGATCACCATATTATTGGCTGGGGAAGCCGTCAAAATTAAAAGACTACGTGAAAGCCATTAGTAGCGTCTCGATGTCTAAATATAACCCCACATATTCGTGAGAACATCCTCATTTATCTGCACTGGCCGCGGCTTGAACAATCGGTTGTGGAATGCCATGGTCGCATAAAGACGGCGGGCACCTACATCGAATTCACATGTCCCAAAACGGCAGTTTACCGATCCTTCCATTCAGATGGCCGCTCATTAGCGCGGGGCATTGTTTCACAATCGTTGCAAAGTGGGGCTCATTGCGTTTAGCTGTGCCGTAACCAGAAGTCGACTGTCGCGCGGGCACCCAAGTCCCAGGGAGCTACCCAGCAACACCATCCATGTCTTCATGTCGTTCTCTCTTTGTCATACATCCACTCCACTTTTGTCCTGGCCAACCTTTCTGGGTAGCGCCACTAAACAGGCGTGCGGAGCTCAGCGTCGTCAGGGGAAAGGGGCGGCTTTGGGCGGTGCTCTGACCATACTTAGGTCAGGCCACTGTCACTGGCTGCGCTGCGCTTAGCAGCCTTCAGACCAGCTAGGTTTTGTTGGGAGCACGGCGACGACCCCACCTACAGCGGCACATGTATGCGCCGAGGAGAGACTGTACAATTATACGTTAGCATCAGGATATTGTAATGCCAATTGCTATCAACGCGCCGGTCAGCTGCAGGAAGATAAAGAATGATCAAAATAGGTAGGCTGATACCATATATTTTCAGTTTGTGCCTTCTTGATCTGTAGACAAAGCATGCAAATTTTCTGAAAAGGAATAGGTGGAGTGGAGACCGATGTAGTTTTGGACGGAAACACATTCATTATCTTGCACTCATGGCATTTTTAAAAACCCTGCAAACATTTGGAAAATAATTCGCCAAATTCGTGTAAGCCAATCTACTCCAAGCAATGTTCGACATTCTTCAAATATCGGCATGCCTGAAGTTTGATGAACCATTAGTTGTTATGACAGCTGAATTGTCTGTCGACTAATCGTAAACAATGTCTAAAACCGTCATGCCTTTACTGAGCTCTGCGAGTGAATGCTGAATCATACGGATTCAAGGAGCAAGAATCGAATCAGTCCTGGTTCTGCATCATGTCCAAATAAGGTCGCTTGAATCTAACTTGACTTTACCGATTTAGGATTTTTCTTGACTGGATTCTGGACCTGAATTGGCATGGTGAGGTAGTAAACACCGTTCTTTTAAATTCAATGAAGCTGTTTTTTTGTGCGCTGACGACGAAATCGGAATACGGATTCTATTAAAAGTTAAGTTTACGGGATCTGTTAAATTAAGGCGATGATCTATGTATGGCACGAAGATGATCTCACGGCACATTTCATCTAACCAAGGATCATAAGCCGGAACGACAATTTTCGTGGAATAAATTGTGCAATGGGCAGGCAGCATCCTGAAAGTTAGAGGAGAGATAGCGCTACCCGGATTCCGCTAATGTTTAGCGGAATCTGGCCAGATAGTAAGAATTACTAGCATCCGCCCCGGGCGTGTGATAAGCGCAAGGCGCAAAGTCCGTACGGTAGCAAAACCTCCTTGCACTCCTTATCACTTTGGGCGAACCACTATCTAGACAAGTTTAAAACTGACTGGCCTGAAGTTTCCTCGGTGTTCTTCCGTGTGGACCGAGTGGAGCAGCACCGCTTGCGTGTATGCATAAGGACGGGACCCATTGGACCCGCGAACGATAATATACATGTGCGTAGCTACGCATGCATGCATGCCTAAATATATTTCATTAAAGTTGGGAAACCAGTTTGAATCGAATTAGAAATTTGATGAAGTTGTGTGATTGTGTGATTGAAATTTTGTGATGTCCTTGCCACGGTACGTGAACTCAGCTACCCACATGTAGATTAACTAGTCGCAGACACTGATACGGTACTTGTAATCAAGCTCATCGTTATATGTAATGTGCAACCTGCTCTGAGTGAGCCGCCAGTGGTTGGTCTGGTGACAGATAGCGTGCCTCAGGCATCTGCGGTGGCTCTTTTGCAGCTGCATACTGCGCAGCGAGTTGACATCATGTTCCCTCAATTTTAAGCCCCTGTACACCTGGAATGTTAAAAATGCAAACAGTAAAGACGGTCTAAGTGAGGGATGTGCATTTGGGAGCATATTTCACTGCACAAGCAGGCACCGTTAATCTTATTGTCGGCTGGTGTCGCATCAATATGAAGTGAATCTCAGCTAACATTCGTAACTTATGTAACACTCACGTATCATGCGGACAGAGCGGCCGTGTGACGTGAGCCAAGTTCTCAAGGCGTCGGATTTATGTTATGTGGTTGAGGTTCCCGCCTGCTCGCCACGCAAAGAGCCCCAGCCTGTTCGGCAACCACTTTGACGTCGGCATAGTACCACACCCAGCCAATCAGCATTGATTTGCACCGCGCTGACGTACAGTGCGTGCTTTAGCTTTTATAGCAGCTGGATTAGTTAGGTAAACCTGATTATCCAAGCCGTCCATGCTTGCGCTGATCAGCGTTCCGTTGCATGTTGAAACACCACGCTGATTGTTACCAGAGCTTTCTGGAATGTGCGGTGGTTTTACCTCAATATGTGTTTAAACTACGGGTGCAACAAAGTTTTCCTTCCCGTCGTGATCACAACACACTTCTTTCCAAATCTGGCAGCACATCGGAGCAAGTACTGCGTCGCAAGTATGCGCTGTCATCTCTTGGCTGTCGTTAACAGCCGCAGATGCAAGCAAAATGGACGCTGAAACGCACCCGCTACTGTGTATGCCTGCGACCCAACAAAACAGCCATGACTAATTTGCACAAACAATATCCCGGCTGATATCGCATAGGTCGGTGGATCTGGAAAAGCATGCAACTTATGAACATAGCGCACACGTATCATTCCGGCTTATCCCGAGCCGCGTTCTCCCTCATGTCCTGAAGAACAACTGCACCAGACATTTCTTACCGACCGCTGACTCCAGACCCGCGCCGCCGACAAGCCCAGTGAGACGCCAAAAGTCTCCCCCGGTTCCCTGCCCTCGTTCACTAACTCGGCGGGCCACGCCTACCAGGCGAGGCCGCTCTCACGTCATGGGGCGCCTCCAGCTGCGTGACGCAACCCGAGCCAACCGCGTGACGCACCCGGAGCGAGCGTGACGCGGCTTACCCCGTGCGGATGAAGTTGGCGTAGTGCTCTATGATGCGTCGGCTGAGGTTGGCCTCGGCCGCCGTGTAGTGCAGGCTCTGGTTGATGGGGTTGCCGAGCACGTAGTCAATCTCGTCGCCGTGCATCACGCCCATCCAGTCTCCCCACGGGTTCAGCGAGGTGCGCTGCAACACGCGGCTGCAGTCACGGCACGCGGCGTCCAACGCGTGCCGGCCCGCCACGGCACGTGCGGCACGCGGCGGGCGCGCGCCGCACCGGGTGACACGGCAGCGCGGTACGTCTGATGCCGGAAGCCGCGACGGTCATGTGCGGTTTGGGTGGCGAATGAGGTGGGTTGTTACCTTATGCGACAGGGCGCGACACCTCACCGCTTCTGGAACTCAGCGGAAGGTAAAGAATGGCGAGTAAACCTGCCGTTTGTTAAGGCCCCCTCATGGCGAACCAGCGCAAGGGCCTCCGGAGTCACGCGAGAGGGCGATTCGACATACTCCCAGAGCCCACACGTGGGTCGCTGTGCTGCGCGCCACAGTTGAGCGGCCGGTGTTAAGCTCAATCATATAACAACTTCTGAGAGTGTTTTGTGAGTGTGTTTTAAAGCGAACTGTGCAGGACACACACCTGTCACGCAGACCAGTCCCCGAACCAAGCCGCATGTCAAGACGAGCATGTCCGTGCCTTTGAGGCTCACAACGTATTTGTGTTCTCTCTTTCTCTCAACATTGATACCATATGATGCTTGTTGCAACATGGCGGCATACGCACAGCATGCAACCCAAATATCATTTATGGCCAATCGTTTAGACGGTACCGCTTTTTTACTGCCTCAGTTAGCCTAAAGCCATGTCCGAGGGAGGCGGCGGGGTAGCGTTAATAACTCGTTCCTCGCTCTGTCCACTCGGGTGTTGTAAGCACAGCGCATGCACGCGTCTGGCGCAGCAGGAATGCAGTGGCGCGCTCAACATCAGCTGGATCACTCCCCTTGCCGCTATATTCCGAAGTCAGAACATTCTACAATGATAATCAGATGCGTGTGTTGCCATGTTGCCGCCAGACGTGAGATGTCTTATAAGACAAAACGCAGCCAAGTTCTCTAGAGCACAACGCTGTCCGTCATGTCTGCAGCGAGGGGAGAAAACGTCATGCCGATATATAAACCGGCAAATGCGAATCGAATCACAACTCAGGGCTTCCGCCGGCGCTGCGTCATTCTCTTAACGGCAGTGTCACGCATTTGAATAAACCGAGGCAAGCATCAGGCATGATGAAATAAGTCCACTTATTGATAGACTTTAAGTGGAAAAGACTGCTCCAGACCTCTGATTTCTTTGTTTAGTAAATATGCTCCTAAATGCGTCATTGTTTGATTATGTCAAGTTTACTATTTCAGGTCAAAACCCCATGCAAATGTGGACCACTCCCTTTAAACAAACACGAACTCGTGTAACGTCTACGGAAGCTTACTGCACACGACTTGAAATGTAGTGTCTTACCTTTGGGGAAATTTCAAAAGCACACGCTGGTGAGAAAACTCAGAACCAGCTACGTCTAATGATAACATTTGGTAGTATCATTGTAGAACTGTCGAGACGCATCCAGAATGCTAATTTTAATCAGTTATGGGTACAAATTACGGTGTCAACACTTTTTGACAGATTAGTGTGTTAGAAACACTACAGAGCACACGATGGAAAAAGCAAGGTAAATGAAATATATGACCTTCATAGTGGTGAGCAGAGTCCAATGATATTTCTCCCGCAGGAGCGGCTAATTCCAAACGAAATTCTGAGCCACAAGTGGATTTCGAGAAGCTGATATTACCGATCCAATCAGACGCGTTCAACCTAATAATAAGTGAAAAGTACAGAACTGACCGCGTCTGCAATCCACTTACCTGCGTGAAAAAGTAGTAGTAGACATTCATGCCCTGTGCAGCGAAAGACTGCGCGAAGTAGTTCGTGGGGCACACAAAGTAGTAGTCCCCAACCACATCTCCCAGCATCTTCTGGTTGAGATATCCGTCGTCAATATGGTCCCAATCGGTGTACTGCAAGCAAGCAGAATTCGTGATCGACTATGGCTTTGATGATACATTCCCAGTCAAATGAGATAGTGCGCTTTCGTCAACTGACCGTGGCGAGGCGGCTCAAGCGGCCCCAGACGCCTGCCATTTACCCCTCATTGGAGTAATCTGCAGCCGGTGGCAGAGGTCGCGCTAAAGGTCAGGAGACATCAGCGGGCAGGACGGACCGCACCGAATCTCACGACACGTTAAGTTTTCGCGGCGAAATTCTACCGTTGACGTGGAATTTCAAGACCGGATGGTGAGGATGGAGCTCACGCGATAATCACGGCTTAGCACGGACGGCATGACGGCAACGGCATGATGGACACACACATAGTATGTAAGTCTGCTAACTTGTTGGGCTGCCTTTCTGTGTTATATGCGTTCGCTTCTCGCCTGTCCTCATATTATGCAATGCGGACATGCATGTACCACCGCAGCAATAATTGAATTTGCCCTCGGTCTCGTCGCCCGGTGTCAGGACGCTCTTAGAACGAGCAGCTGCTAATGCTATACACTCACCTGGAATATAATGGCCAGCTTCTCCATTTCCTCCCAAGACCCAAAGATGGCTTCAATAATTTCCAAAAACTTGGACCTCTCCAGGAAGCTTGGGTCGTCCTTTTTGAAGAACTGTATGAAGTCGTAGAGGATGAAGTACGTACCTGAAATACGAACACCGAATTCATCTGTGGCAGCCAATTCTGAACCTGCTATATCGCCAGTTACTTGTCCATTGGATGCATAGTTGGCGTGAAACCCGTCCATATTGCGGAGTCATGGAACAAAAGCATTGTCTCGCATGTCCAGTACGCCCCTTACGCCCAGGGGAAACGCGATGCGCGGGACAACCGAGGGACATGATGTGCAGGACAACCGAGGGACATGATGTGCGGGACAACCGAGGGACATGATGTGCGGGACAACCGAGGGACATGATGTGCGAGACAACCGAGGGACATGATGTGCGGGACAACCGAGGGACATGATCTGCGGGACAACCGAGGGACATGATGTGCGGGAAACCGAGAGACATGATGTGCGGGACAATCGAGGGACATGATGTGCGGGACAACCGAGGGACATGATGTGCGGGACAACCGAGGGACATGATGTGCGGGACAACCGAGGGACATGATGTGCGAGACAACCGAGGGACATGATGTGCGGGACAACCGAGGGACATGATGTGCGGGGCAACCGAGGGACATGATGTGCAGGACAACCGAGGGACATGATGTGCGGGACAACCGAGGGACATGGTGTGCGAGACAACGAGGGACATGATGTGCGGGACTATTGAGGGACACGATGTGCGGAACTATCGAGGAACATGGTGTGCGGGACAATCGAGAGGCATGATGTGCGGGACAATCGAGAGACATGATGTGCGGGACTATCGAGAGACATGATGCGCGGGACTATCGAGTGACACGATGTGCAGGGCTATCGAAGGACATTATATGGGGAACTATCGAGGGACACGATATGCGGGACTATCGAGGGGCACGATGTGCAGAACTATCGAGGAACATGATGTGCGGGACAATCGAGAGACATGATGCGCGGGACTATCGAGGGGCACGATGTGCGGGGCTATCGAGGGACTTGATATGCGGAACTATCGAGGTACACGATGCTCGGGACTATCGAGGAACACGATGTGCGGGACTATCGAGAAACATGATGCGCGGGATTATCGAGGGACATGATGCGCGGAACTATCGAGGGACATTACATGCGGCACTATCTAGGGACACGATGTGCGGAACTATCGAGGGACATGTGCGGGGCTATCGGGGGGCATGATGTGCGGGACTGCCGAGAGACATGATGTGAGGGACTATCGAGGGGCATGATGTGCGGGACTACCGAGGGACACGATGCACGGGACTGGCGAGGTCATAACGGACCTACGAGCTATTAAATATCCCGATGTAGTTGGGAGCAAAACCTAAGCTAATGAAGTCAAACAGCTTGAGAAAATTCATATTATATTTCGACCAGTGCTTTAGATTAATATATCATAACTTAGGCGTCTGGAGGTTCGCCTTGCATGAGGGTCTAGCGGGGAGAGGTTCAGTGATCGAGACTATCGAGAAACATGATGCGCGCACTATTCTCACAAGTCAGCAATGCTTGAAATCGACTGAATGTGGGCAGGCACACGCATGCTAATTTACTGGATAAAATCGATGATTTCGTAACTATTTGGACCTGCTGACGGTAACTAAAGCACCATGATTTAGTTCAGAAAATGCATTTTGAATGCTTTGAACGAGTGCCTGTGGGTTCAGACTGCCGCCCAAGCACAGTTTGATGCGCACGTCCTGAGGTCTTGACCAGCCCGTCAAGTTACGCCGAACCAGTTCACTCTGTCGCCGGCCTTTTTGCCAGACAGGAGTGTTCGCGCGCACCGTACCAATGCGAGAGAGGGGCCAGGTCGGCCCTATTTGGCCAGCACTATCTGGCTTTTCCATGCCAGTCGGGCTAAGCAATGCGCTCGTTCTCGTGCTCATATTCAGCGCCACGAAATTACGACTCCAGCATCTTTTCCTGGATCACGACGGTGGCAGACCCGTGCTCACGCAAAGCGATGGAAATCGTGTGGGTAGGCAATGGACACAATAAATTGGCCCACACACCTCTCAAGCTCTTAGGACTTATGGCTCTAGGCTTAGACTACGTTGTTTTATATCCGGCCCGCGTTCTGGAGAAGGCGGCATTGCTCGCTTCCCCGCAGGTCACTGGCGCACTAATGGGTCAGACGGTGCTTAGATCGACCAACGAATTCTGGACGGTGCTTTGACCTATACCGTACGGTCGGTTTCACGTCTCTGTCACCTCTGTACTCCAAGATCCACCATAATCGCTGGCAATATCGCGAAAGAGCAGATCTATGGTTGCGCTCGAGAGCCCGGGATTGGCTGAACACATCGACCCAAGTTTTTTGCCTGTGTGATTATCATATCTCCTTGGTCGCGCTGTGTTGGTCTTGTGGCGATGTGAGGATAGGTCGGTAAGACCTAACCCGGCTTCGTTCTGCGTTGCGCGAGATCTGTTCCGAGATAAGTAGAGCCTACATTTCCACCATCGACAAGTTCGGGACAAAATTGTACAAGCAAGTTCCGATATGGCAGAAAGCCATTCATTCAACAGTTGATTTGCAAGTACTTAAAGCTCATGCGGGATAGCTTTTAAAGAACTATACCTGTCATAGCTGACGACTGCATGGGGCTAAGACTGGTGGGTACTGATGTGTTTACAGAGAGCGTGACGGCCTGGCTGGGTTGGGTCACTCAGCGCAAAGTTTACTCGTTCAACAAGGAGACTGGGGCTCAAGTGGACTGCGCAGGTGTTCATACTTAAATTGTCTTCTCGTGCAAAATGTAAGTTAGTTTCACCAATATTTGAAACCAACTTCTGATAAGAAAACAGGAGTAGCGGCCATCATAGTTCAGCCGACTCGTAAAGTTATTAGCTTCAATCTGCCCCTGCACGTTTAAGTATCAGGGGCGTAGGCACATCGCAAAAAGTGCACGGGACAAACCCCGTGTTTTGACATCTGGTTTTTCCTACGAATCCTCATAAGGTCAATGCTAACGAGAGAATTCGCTGGGATGCCCCATCCGGTAGACGGTCTGTACTGTCCACCGTTCACGCACCGGCAAATCCGTCATGGAGATGGGATTTGTCTTGGCTTCGCTATTTCGATATGCGGGCGGGCATATCCGAGTATTCCACTTTGCATTCCGAACCCTTACATGCATCTCAAGTATGCACTATGTTGGTCTTGACATGGCTTGAATAATGCATGACCTGAGTGTTTGGCTAGAGAATGGGCGGTCGCAAATCCGCCTCCCTTCCTCCAGCCCCTTACCCTCGTCCTTATTGCTGCCCAGCAGCAGCTCGGTGTGTCGGAAGTCGCCCTCCTTCAGCATGTCGATGGGGTGCTTGGGCAGGAAGTCGCCGTCGATGGTGGGCGCCGACGGGAAGTCCAGGATGCCGCCGTACGAGTTCCACTGCTTGGCCGACAGGTCCTGCCAGGGCACCGTGCGCATGCACTCTATGACGGCGTCCATCTGGTCGGTGATCCGCGAGGCGTTACAGCCGCAGTCGTCCACCAGCGTGCTGCCCACCCGGAACGCCTTCTCCTTGGTCATGATGCTCCACGGCGCGTTGATCGTGCCGCTCTGCATGATTCCTCGGCTCACGTACTCGCGGCTGAAGACGGAGTTCAGGAAGGTGAGCCATACAGCCACTACTGAAATACAGTGAGAGAGACACACATGAGTCATTTCAGTTCTTCCTATTAACCCCTCCCCTCCCTAGGTACGGCACTAAAAATCAGAAACACTGGGAGAGGCACCTCTCAAATGGAGGGAACGTGCCACCGGGTGGATTGGATGTCGTTTATGAAAGAAGAGGGGCTGTGCGAAATTCTGAAGCTCTTCAAGAAGTGGTGCACATAGTCTTGATGTGAGCCACACGCTGTCTCGAATGATTGAAAGATTCGTTATCCTGCTCCAGAGGTCCCCAGAAGATGAATCGGCTACTTGGAAATCGAGAGAAAAAAGCTTCGTTTTCTGTCTGTTAGTGAGGCGGGATTTCATGCACGGCGACCGCTGGGAAAAAACCGGAACGCGCTGTCTGTCCGCATGCCCAAGCTTCCGAGTTTGCTGCTTCAAAGGACGTGAACGAACCGCCAATCGAGTATCGCCATCTGATACGCCGGCCTCGCCGAAAGCCTCCAGTGTCGGTCGGAGTCGATCGATGGCACGTGGCACGCGTTACGTGCCACGTGCCGTTAGACGCACTCCATCGGAACTCACACAATGAAGGCAAAGATCAGACGAAGGGTGTCATCGGCCCAAGGCCGGGTGGCAGCCTTGCACCCCGATAAACGGTGACTGCTGTTGCGGTCGGCAGCCAAATGAGGCCCATAACGGAACCTACGTGTAGCACCCGTGCTGTCCCTGTGCCGTTTCCCGCGCTTTACGGAATCGACCTGAGCGCATATCTTGTGCGTGTATCCGCTATTCCGCTTAGCCTGCCGTTAGGCTGTGAGTACTGCGCGTCAGACGGTCGGCGGTAGGCGGCCGGCTCGGTGCCGCCACATATCAGCACCACGGCTGTCCATCAAATTATGTCCGGACCAGGCGTCATCGCATAACAAAGCATGCCCGCATGACGCACGCAAAAAAGAAATTGACACCTGGGCGTGATAGAGTGACTGCGGGCGTGATATTAATATCTCGCCGCGCAAAAGGGTCGCCCTCAATGGCGGCGAATACTGTGTCGGATAACAAATGTCGTAATAATTCTGTCATAGCCCCTGTTGCCCTCTCAAAAAGTTTGAGTCTTTTTAGGGATGTAAATCTCGTCGGGAGGAATCGCACATAGCTCAGGTTTTCATAATCGGGCGGGAAGTTATCGGAACATAGAACGGGTGGGCTGAGGCTCCCTCTTAACATGAAGCACTTTTTACATTTCTTCAATGCTAGAGATAAGGCGCTCCGTGCTAAGACGCTCGCGTGGCGCACCTGCCAACATGCACGCGCATCCATTCATTAGGACCCAGTTGCACGTGCTCAGCCGGCACAGTCTGATGCAATGATGGACTTAGAGATAGAGAAGTGCCTCGGTGATCGGTTTCGATAAAATCCAGCCTGGTGGGAGGGGGGAGGGGGAGGGGCTGTACCCTACTTGTGTGGTGAGATAATACATTGGCGAACTCTGCCATTGTCGCCAGCCGTCGATCTGTCAAGAGGGTGAAAATTGGCAGGAAAGATAATGACATACGCACCATTCGATGCAGAGCTGGATTATTGCACGATAGCCTCAATCTTGGATCCCAATTTTAATCCCAAGACAACACTGATCGCGTTGGTTTGCCACTAGGCAGGGATTGGAAGCCTTCGTATTTCAGATGGTGTTTCAAAGGTCCCCTTCAACGAAAGGCTGGCGCACCGAAGTGTTGAACGGACCGTGGCTGTCATAGGCATCTGTTTCACACATGCAGGACGCACCATATGTGCGAGCACTGCAGCGTTCAACCGCAGACGGACAGTGCCACACCAGGGGTCACGAGGGGAGGGGGTCATGAGGTCACGACCGTCCGGACTCACGACTGAGTGCACGTCTGTGGGGCAGGGGCAACGCCCAACTGAGCCCCACCGTGCCAGTCAGCTGACTGCGCTCTTGGTTCTGCTGACGAGGGGGCCTCTTGTTGTTAGCTCAGGTGCCGGAAACCACTGAATTACGCTCGAAGGCCGGCCTACCCAAGGCTAAAGGGCATGTTATTGGGGGTAAGAGTACGTGGAAATGATATTTTGACCATCCCATCTGCATGACCACGGGTACTTGCATGAAGCTCCAGTGGGGAAAGTGATAGGAACGCCTTTGTATAATTCTGTACTCATTTTTTACCATGTACGGCAACTGGGATGTTTTCTTAATAGTTAGGAGCGCTTCCCTTTCAGTTCTGGCGCCAATGCTTAGCAGCATTCCATCGCACTATCATGCATGACGGAAAATGCGATACCTGTTTGGGAAAATTAAGCTCCAGACTGAATAAGAAACGAGTGTGTAATGATGATCGCACAATAGCAAAATCAAATGAGTAGACTACAGCCAGATCAGTTATAAACTTAAATCTCTCAACCACGCAAGACGCTTCTGTGTTCATCATGACCACCACGCTCTGGTGGAAACCGGACCCAGCAACATTTCGGGGCGATAATTGTGCTCAAGCACCTTTCACTCAAGGAAATGGGGATTGCAAGGCATTGTTTGCCGGCAAATTTTATATCGTGACTTTTTTTGCTTCACACCTTTTGCGTTCTGTGGTGTACCACAAGACTCTGATTGTACGATGGTATGTAGTACTTGCTCGCAAATATGTTATATGAATTTATGACGACAATCATAGTACCGCCTTCTTCACAATCATAGTACCACAATCCTTGGCGGACTCTGGACTCATTATACGCTGGACTCATTATAAGCAGCCCTCCCAGCGAACAGTAACGATGTGGCGCTCATCACAAAATCGGGTTTTGAATGTGCATTTGATGCACTTTGCTTTTGACATTCTTTGCTCTTTGATTAGGATAGTTGATGTCGTGAAACAAACAACATCGCTGTTTCAGCTAATTACCTTTCTAAAAGACCAATCATTATAAGACCACCAACCATCCAATCATTATAAGACCAAGACCACCAACCATCATAGGACCCAGGGACGGAGTCTCAAGAGAACACATGTTACAAGGCCAGTACATACCACACTCACAGATGCTTGCTCACTCGCTCACCCACATACACTTAGCTCCACAGATGACAACAGCACAACATAATTACACGCCTACCAATTACACCTTATGAGCCAAAGGTACGGAGATCGATTCCTGGTGGCGCCCGCCCTTCATGTCATGGTGAAAGGCAGGCTGCACCAGATCGCCTCACCATCTGAGTCCATTGTAAAGCCCCGATGATGCATACACAATCACGCTATATGGTACTGAAACCTTCGCACATTCGCGAGCGTGCTCCAATTATCCCACATAATTGAAATGGCATACCACGGTGGAGCTTTGGAGCAGGTAAAGGGCAGTCTACTTTCCTCATAGGCTGGAACGTGCGACTTAAGTCTTGACCTGGACGGAAGATGCGATAATGAATGACTGGACGCCACAACGAGCGTCCTCCCCCCCCCCCCGCGCCGCGCTGGCAAGCTGGCTAACCTGCTGAAGGCCGGCTGGCTGGTAGACCGGTTCCGGCAGTGCGCGGTCAGCCGAAGACGGGCTGAAGCCCGGCTCAGCGGCAGCTACCATCCATCCAGGTCAAGTGGACTGCCTTCCGTTACGCTTTAAGAAAAAAACTGCTACTCGAGTCCGATGTTGATCAGAGTGTTCCAAACATCGATTCCGTGTGTTGTGGGCGACTAGACCCATATATTAGTCATAACGAATCGATGAGAAAGAGAGAGACCTTGACATTCGCAATATATTTGACAAAAGCAATTCATATTCTTCGTAACTCCGATTTGTTAAAGTGCTGAAGTAATCAGCGCTGTGAATCCGAATGGCAGACGATGTCAAAATCAGTGGAAATTCACGCGATGGCTGTAGTCAAATCTAGTGCCCTCTTGAACTCAGGCCTATGCTACTGGTCTTTGCTGCAGTCCGGCTTCCTGACACCATTTTCAGGGTTAATTTGGGCATCGCCCTCAATTTCATTCACCCGGTGGAACTCCTAATTAAGTGTTAGAATGACTTAATTGACACATGTAGCTGCTAAAGTCATTGTCATCCGACACGTGTAGCTCATAAAGTTATTGCCGTAGCTAAATGTTGCAGACGTCTGCACACCACGCGCTGAGCTCTAATAAATGAACACGTAAACGCCTGGCGAATATTCTCTTAATCACGGGTCATCTATTCTAACCACAAGCTGCTCTCGATTTGGCATGGTGAAAGCCTCCAGCGCTTTGGCTGTTTCAAAACTCCTGCCCTATGGTCGCGCCGGGTCTTCCCCTGGGATCCGCTGCTCTCAAGGCCATGTGATGTGCTTGGGCCCTCTGCAGATTCTTGCATCTCTTAACGAATTTTTAGGTCCCTTGACAATTTTTCCGGCACGCTGAGCGTTTCAGTACGCTGATCATCTGGAATTCCTGACGTTCATGGTTAATAGTGACCTGGACTCGATGATGAACAGCAGATGGTAATCAGCGCTCTCTGTGTCCTTAGGCGACGGCTGGTCGTTCGCGGATTTCCAAGAATCGCCTCCTAAAGTTGTCAAGAACTACTCGAGCTGGGCAATCTTGAGGTTGCGCTGACTGCCCATTGATAATCTCGGACCCCTTACGAACGTCCTAATTTTCTACTGCACAGGACAGAGCTGGACAAGCTGCTTTAGGGAAAGGCGTGTCCGTGTGGGTCTTGACTTAATGGTCCAGTTTAATCCAGCTCAAATATGAGTACTGGAAAGGTCATATTTGCGCTAATGAACCGCTCATCGTAAATGATGTTTGGCCACAATAAGAGCGCGGGCAACCCTGCCACAAAAGAAACGCGCAAGCGCAATTGATGCAGAACACACGGCTGCACACTTATGAGTAAAAATCTAAGCTGCTGACATAATCTCAAGTAGCAAGACGTTTAATTTTTGCATTTTTATCCGAACGCTGAAATCTCCTACGGGATCACCTGATACTTGTATAACCGCCCAAACCATGTGACTTTGCACATGTCTTTCCCCCTGCCCACGCAGAACACAATCGGCATCGGTCCTGTCCCCATCACTGCCTTCGGTTCATTCCATCATGAATGAGTGGCAGACTGCATGCACGAGACCGGCGCCATCGGGCGGGCAGGGCGGGCAGCCGCGCACCGAGGAGAGGGCCAAAAGAGGTCCCAATGATGAAGCTCTTGTATGGTGGAGAGTCGACGTGCGACAAGAGACACCTATCGTGGCGAACAGAAGGGTCTCACCCTGCACTGTGAGCGACTCGGATGGTCTGAGTCCGGGTACGGTGGGAGGCCCTCGTTATGGTGAGCATGGTCATAATGCGGCACGACAGAGGGTCTATTCGAGACCGCGGGGAGACCTCAATTCGTACCAATGAGTCGAACTCTTACCACAGTCGCGACTGAGATGGTCTTGTCGGAGTTGAAAGGGGCACATTAATATAGGGATCAGTAATGCGGGTGTTTTGGATGGCTTTATGAATCTATATGAGCGCTGGTATTGTACTAAAACAGTCGGGTATTCTTACACATCCATCCTCATGGCATGTTGGTTCACCTGTGCGGTGGACAAAGGCCATGTGTCTGAAGGCATATGAGCAGGTCGTAGTTTCGCAGATGAATGAGGGGTGGGGGCAGGAAATTAGCTAAATGTTCTTCTAAAACACGCTCAAAAAGACCTTCCCTCCGAACGTGGCCCAATTTTCTTTTTAAAGATTGGAGGCTGCGAATGTTCAAACGCGTCGACATCACTGTACGCGACAAAATATTCGCCATCGCCGATGTTTCTAAAAAGTATATGCATGCGCTCCGTTGACGCTCTTAGCGTGCTCCTGCCGCATCCGGCGAGCTTTCACACACGCCGATCGCTTAAAGGAGCCCCCGTCCGTCCATTCATCCCTCCATGCGGCCCATTATTTCGGCACGCCTAGCCGAACCGACTCAGTCAATGCCACCACATCTGCACCGCCCGACGCGACTCTCCGCCGACAGACTCTGTATGGTGCCGATCTCGGACCGATCGGCGCCGTGCGGCACGCGCTACGCGTTACGGCCCCCGCATGCCTGCAAAATTAAACTGCCAGGCGTGCACTTCAAACGGGGGGCCACAGGAGTTGGCCCGCCGGCAGGATCACAGTCACAGACGTGATCCATGACCCTTGAGGGGCTCGTCTCCGAATGGCGACGGCGCCCCGGCAGGCACGTGCAGCACTCGGGCTCCTCCGCCCCGGCAGCGCCCCGAGCTACGACCGTCACGTTCGGTACGTAGGTGGGGCGCCAGTGGAGTCACGCAGCGCCACTGACATCGGAGCGGTTGACGGCTCCACGTGGGTGTGAAGCGACCACGCGCGATTACGCTTGTCTTTAAACGGCCACTGCGCACGGCCTGGTAGTCATGGTGTTGTTCCCTGGTATTTGGTTTCGGCAGCTGCATGCGCACAGGGGCCTTTTTGCGACGAAGGTGGAGCAAATAACTGGTGCTCTCGTGCCACGTTTGATAAACTTCGCCCTTTCACCATGTTTGACATTTGGGCAGAGCATTTTGGCCCACTGTTCATGTTCAGTGGGACCTTCGCACAATCTGAACATCAGGATGCGTGTTCTGCTGCAGTGCCGTCTGTGTGAAAGTCGACACCTGAACATGCGAACAGTTTCCTCTCACCCGCTGCAGGGGCTGTGGCGAGGACGGAACGTTCTGGAGCTCTTCGAATTTAGTTTATTGGTTGAGGAGTAAAATTACTACGCTAGTTTTAAACATCAATATGCCTTTATGTACGTTGACATAGACCTGCTCATAAAGGAGATGTATTACAGGTTGCTAGCGCACGTTTGCAAGTCAGGTGCAGCCCTACGGCCTGTACTCAAAGCAAGAAACACAACCCGCAGACGAACAAGCAGGGAAGCCAACGTGCGTCAGCATCCCTCATACCAAAGGCGTCAGCGAGAAAATCAGCAGGGCACTGGCTCCACTCAACATTAAAGTACCGCACGACTCCAGACCTACTCATAGAGAAAGACTCGTCGACATAAAAGGCAAGACAACCTGGGAACAGCAACAGGGTATAACACGTCATGTGAATGTGGTGCAGCATACATTGCTAAAACCTGACAACCAAAAAAAACCTGCGAGAACATGCCACCCTGCTGAAACATGGCCGAAGCGAGACCTCGCCACCGATAGAGCTTTGGATGCAGTGCCAAAACCCCTCGAGCCATAAGCCTTCAATTAAAAAAGACAGTACTTGAGCTATAGACCCCAGTTGGTATCGACGCACTACTAGAAAAGGCATCGCAGTTCACCTGCAATCTCATGACTAAAGGTCAGCCCCATATGGGACAGTGTTTTTGGTCGGCCGAGTGGAGCACCATCGTATTCATTACACTCATATAGGATGGTGTGGGGATCTCCCATGTCAGATTATTTTGTCCACGTGATATGTGCATGCCATTGCTATTGCGCGCCGTTTGTATTTGCCAACCTTCAACCTTTTTCAGTTTTAAGCGTTGACTTTACAACGACATCTTTTACAGTCATCACGCGGTTCTGGTCACCTGCAATGCGCGGTTTTCGCGGTCGCAGTTTTTGCGGCACCCTCTGTCGAGATGTTTGGTGTATCGCAATGCCCCGTACCCAGTTCAAAGTTTGGTGAGAGAATGAAAACCACCACTACACGCGAAGCAAGACTACAGGAGATGACGTCACTAATTTACCGTGTGATGCCATTACCTAGGCTCATCCATAAGCGTAGGTACCCATCATTGGTCCCCTATTTACATGATTCAATTTGCCTTCATGCCATTCCTTTACAGCTACGCATTTAATGTGGACTGATTCCAACTGGGCATAGGTCTTCATTACCAGATATATCCGCAAGCGCACTGTTTCACCTGCCTGTTCAGGCGTAAGTGGAACACTTTCTTGGTGCAACTTTATTGTTTTGCTGGCGAGTTTCTGGAAGCCGTCAAAATAAAAGCGTAAACTTAAGTTCATGAACATCCAAACAGAATCCCATCCCACCCAATATCCCAAATACATTATCAACCTAATCCAAGTCCACTACTGCGGATGTGATGGAACTGTAAGATCCGCGGGGCTGAACTGGTCTATTTCGTGCTCTGTCGTCTCGGGCTTATCGACCCAACTGCTTTTGCAAGGTTGCACTCGTGGTTGTGACATTTGCATGCATGCTCTTAGCAGTTTCGTAGTCATTGTGTGTTATGCGATTGTTCCATTCTCCAGGCAGTCCACAAAGTGTTAATTGCTGGGCCTTGAGACCAGACATCACTGGGTGCACATTTATCGTTATTGCTCTTATTTGCCGTCGCCCTTGTTGCCATGAACATTATAGTCCGTTTTTGTTCGAATGTTCATGGTGACTTCATCCTTCACGAGCACAGTCAAGTGAGCCTGGCTGCACTAGAACCGAACTTGATCGTTTAACGTTTAATATGGGCTGCTCGCACAAGCTGCACCTTGGAATGATGCCCATCAGAAAACATTAAATATTTCTAATTTGTACATAACGTCTGTTTACATGGCCACACTATGGGCGCCGTGCCTGTTGGTGCCACGAAGCATGGGAACAAAGATTAGATAAAAACATGCCGCAATAAAAAAACATTACATCATGCACGTTTTCAGCCTTGTCAGCGAACTTGATAGTCTGGTGGCGGGCAATCTGCTGGACAGTTCATAATTTTTTTAGTACAGTCTAGGTAGCCACAAGCTGTCACATTTATTGACATTCATTGACCTGCATGAAAACTTGGACGTTTTTCGAAACATGTATGCATTTCCATCAAACATTTTGCAGATTACCTAGAAAATTTACAAGCTGCCTGACCAGCTAGGTATCTCGCAGGTCGCACTGGTTCGTTCTATGTCTATAAGATATACCACCAAGACACGCACAACAGTTGCAGCACAGGTAAATGATGCATAAATTCAAATAAAAAATAGAATACTATGTCGTGCCAAATCACACTTTTAAGATGACCCACATGTGCAGGACAAGGACGTACCTGTAAGGACTGAGGAAGTGCACGCTGACGGAGGCTGCGCCTGCACTCTCCCCGAAGATGGTCAGCGACTCTGGCTTGCCTCCGAAGAAGGCGATGTTGTCCTTCAGCCACTTCAGCGCCAGCGACTGGTCGAACAAGCCGACGTTGCCAGGAGCTTCCGGATGTCCCAGATAGAGAAAGCCGAACGCGCCCACGCGGTACTGCATGGAGGCCACGATGAGGTTGGACTCGATGGAGAGGATGTCAGCGTCATACACCTCCAGCGTGGACGTGCCGCTCATGAAGCCGCCGCCGTAGATCCAGACGAGCACCTCCGTCTTAGGCGTCACCGGCTGCCGAAAGACGGACGGCACCCATATGTTGAGATAGAGGCAGTCTTCGGAGAGCGGAGTGTTCGGGTTCCACATCTCTTCGCCGCGGAAGCCAGGGAAGTAGCTGAACGTCTCCTGCGGGCACGTGTTGGGCAGCGTGGTCGCGTTGTACACGCCCTCCCACGGCGCCACCGGGATCGGCTTCTTGAAGCGCAGCTCACCGACGGGCGGCTCCGCAAACGGGATGCCGTAGAACACGTCCAGGCTCTTGCCAAACACCTCCTTGCGGAAGCCGCGCACCAGGCCGTCGCGCGTCTCCACTATAAGCGGGTCTCGGCTGTAGGGCGGGTGGCCGCGCGCGTCGCTGGCCGTGCCGCTGCGGTTACGCTTCTGGTTCATCTCGCGCAGCAGGTCGGTGAGCGGCTTGTCCTCGACGCCGGCGGCGTAGCCGGCCAGCGCGAGCAGGCAGAGCGCCAGCGGCAGCCGCCACCACGGACGCCGCATGTCACCGGCAGGAGAGGGTACAGTGCTCACGCCATGGCGTCCAGCTCTCCCCGCGTCAGGGCAGGCACGCCGCGCGGCCGGCCCCCGCCGACCGTCAGCCAGCGGGGCGAGCGAAGCTCGAATGCCGCCAACGCGGGAGGGAATAAATACGCTACGAGCTGGGAATGCAGCTATCCTACCCTCGGCGAAGCGGACCGTTCAGCCGATGTTCGAGCCGGCCACTCGCCTGGTCGCGAGCGGGACACGATCTGCCGCTGTCCTGGACGACACCGGAGGCCGACCGAGCTGGGACCGGCAGTCAGCGGGACTCGAGCTGCCCCTGACCGAGGCGTCCGGCCGGGAGACGGACACTGGTCGCGGGCCGGCCGGGTCCCGCCGCGGCGCGCTGGCACCGCTCCCCGCCCGTGGGCGCCGCTGCCAAAAGCGATACTGTCAACGGTCTGGACGGCGGCTGACGGCCTATGATAACTGCCGACAGCCATTGGCGGTGCTGGCAGCTGCTGCTGTACGCCGCTGTATTACGTTTTCTCGTCAGATCTCACGGTTACAATTTGACGTCCCTCTCACTCTCGCGCTTATTCCTTACAAGCAACGCTGATCTCTGCCATAAAACCCGCCGTGCTCATGGCCAGCATCTTCTCACTGCTCTTCAATTCTCAAGCGCGATCACAAGCACTCCCCTCTGTCAGCTTATACAACAGTAACACGATCTGGGCATTGACTGAAGCAAATGTGTAGAATGCATGTTAATTTGACGGGGAGCGATTAGACGATGACAATATGCGCGGTGCGGTATTAGGCTGCAGCGAGCGATTCGGCGAAGGCTTGGTGGCAGCCTTGTGCTTGGATGATAACAAAGGATAAGCAAATACGAGAATGGCAAGAATCCTTTTGAGACGTGACTCTTTTGTTAAGGAGCGGCGGCGACGCGCTTCCGCGGAACTGGGCGTGCCGTTCTCCTCATCCTTTCATTTTTAACTTACATGTCTGTTGACCTGCACTGGACCAGTGCCCAAGGATGAGCAATATCATCCCAAATATGCGTCAACCTTACTTAAATTATGTGTGGGAAACCGAAATCCAGCTCATAAAGCTAAGAAAGGCTCAGCCTGTGGTGATAAATACAGCTGTTTAAACCGCTACTTGACGTGCAAGGTATAGGTTTGGCGCCACATCAAACCTCAAGAGCCTGGTTGGCTGTATTTCACGCAGGATAAGAGAATATCACAAGGCAGCAACAACTTTTGTTACGAACTTGTATTTTATTTGTGTGAAAAATTGATGCGTTCTCTACAGTCCGTTAAATTCAAGCATACTTAAATGAACTTATTACGTTTCCAGATTGCTTGGATCCGGGGCGACATCAGCGGTTCAGCAGAGTAGGCAGCTGTCCATCCTGTCGTCAGATGGGGTGGACGAACGTGTCAATCCATCCTGAAAAGCCAGGAGATCCTTAGAGAGCCACAGGGATCTAACAAAGATGACCCGCGGCACTGATGCGGTCAGAGGGCCGGCCATGGCCATGAAAACACTGTCGTATTGACCGAGAGGAGGCTCCATTTATAGGATACCGAGTGGTCAGGAGGGATCATGCTCCTTTCATGGATGAGAATGGTCGAAATCCAAGGCACGGTAGGGGCCCTCCTATTACCGAGAGGAGTCCCCAGCCCAGTACAGTGGACAAATTACTCATGCATGAGATTCGATGGTTTCAAGCCGCTGCACTGTGCAACAGCAGGCCCTGTTCCGACTACGAGGATGTTCATCTCCAAAGAGGAACTCAGGAACAAGAGAGAGTCCCAATGTGGCAAGGACCGTGTGTGGTGAAAAGCCAACGTGCGATGGAGCCCCCTGTCATGACCGAGAAAAGGGCTCCTCCCTGGCTCCGTTCCAGCCTTAGACAGGCCCCGGTATGACCGATATGGTCATGATGCGGTCAATCAGAAGATCCTCTTCCGACTAAGCGGAGGTCCCTTTCGTGATCAGGAAAGAGCCTCTACGTGACGGAGGAGGGGAGATGGAAGGCTCTGGCTCCGATCGAGAGATGGCCACGGTTATCGGTAATGAAGACTTTAGGGAACTGCATGAGCGCTGCTTTGGTAATGGATCTCAGAATTCGATGTGGACTTAATGGCCTGCACATTAAGCCACAAAAGGATCGGTTTATCCATGTTTTGGGGGAGAGACAAGACACTTTGCACATGGGAAACACAACTAATTCCTCCATCGTTGATGTCCCCGTGAAGTCCACGAGGAGCCGTGGCCGAAGAGACGTGTGTGATCCGGCGTTGTCCTGTACAGCCGTCCCCGCCGCCCGGCTACCTGCCTCCCGCTCCACAGCGCGCTCCCCCAGCGGTGCCAGCGAGCCATCATAGGCAACCCGCAATACACGGGTGTCCGCCGGGCCGTTCCACTAGCTTTCGACTGGCGGCCACGCCGCAGCCCTCCCGCCTTTACAAAGCACACGGAACTTATGTCCACCCATCCTGTAAGGGCCCTCCTATTACCACTGGGCCCTCCTAGGGCCCTCCTATTCCCGCAGTGGACGGCCACGCGACACGGGACACCACCACACGGCTCGCCACAGACAGCGATCGTCCAATGAGCTTGCTTCGTCAGGTCATCCAAAGCGGCTCCGGCAAACAGGCGATCAACAATTACCCACACGCGAGGCTTGTCAGCCTGCCTCCGGAGCCGCCAAATCGCATGGAGAGCAGAATGTTGGTGGGGCCGGTGTCCCGAAGGAGCAATGGCACTGCCAATACCGTTAATAATTCAGTGAACGATCCGGCGATCAATGGCACTTCTGCTCAACCCGGCCTCCGCCGGCTCAGTCCTTCCCGGGGCTGTTCGCTTAGGTCAAGATTCAAGCGACAACTGCCGCGCCTAAATGTCGCTCGTACTGGACGACTGACCACCAAAATCATTGAGGCACGTGTCGGAAACACATGTCGGCACAACGACCTTAAACGCATTCACCAGACACGAGTGCCGTGTCTTGCGAATATGTGGCATGCTCAGTACGCCTGAACGCCAGCGATGGCACGGAAAACGGCTCCGATGCCGCGAGCGGGGCGACGATGGGTCGTCAAGAACCGTGGTAACCGACACCGGTATATGGAATCTTGCGACGCTATACAGCGCGGCTTTCTGGACCAGAGCCACGAACTAATGAGTGGGGCGGCCAAATGAGCGCCCACGGTGTACCGCAACGCTCGGCTCGCAACCTTAGACACCAATGAGTGAGGCGTCCAGGGGGGCACCGAGCGCGCACGGACCGTCTGGGATATCCTCGGAGCCACACGTCTGGGATATCCTCGGAGCTACACGTCTGGGATATCCTCGGGGCTACACGTCTGGGAGAGCCTCGGGGTTACACATCTGGGACATCCTCGGAGCTACACGTCTGGGTGCAGCCTTCTGCACTGAAGCTCGATGATCCGCGGCTGGCCCGGCTCCCGGGACCGAGCCGGACAGTTGAAAAATGGCTCCCGAATTGCTGGCCCAGGCAGTAGCTCGCTGAAGCTCCCCTCTCCCAGGTGATCCTAGATGTCAGGCGAAGTAGCTCCGAGAATGTTACAGACGTGTAGCTCCGAGAAGTTGCTTGGAGAAGATGTTTGGGATATTCTCGGAGCTGCACGTCTGGGACACCCCCGGAGCTACCTTGCCTGGCATCTAGGATGACCTCGGAGAGGGAAGCTTCTGCGAGCTACGGTCAGTGAGCTACTGCCAGGGCCACCAACTCGGGAGCCATTCTGTAATTGTCCGGCTCGGCCCCGGTGGCCGGGCCAGCTGTGGATCATCGAGATCCAGTGCAGAAGGCGGCCTCGGTACCGCGCGAGGCTTATATTGGCCGCTTATTCTCATGTCAGCACACGCGTGCTGTTAAGTTCGTCAGCATTGGTTGGTGCAAATATCTGCATACCTTTGTGGAACAGGTGCGAAAATGTGGGATGGCTGCGGCTGTGCCTCTGCCGTGTCTTGCTTAAGGACATATATTACTTTTAACATTCATTAGCATTCATGCTCATTAGATTTAACGTGCATTGCATTAAATATTTTATCTAACAATAACATTTCGCTGTCCTATAAACCAACAGTGTAGCCAAGGTCAACACGCTCCAATACCCCAGTTGTAGGCTTCAGGGAGCGGATAGGCCACGGGCAGGTGTCTGTAACACCTGCCCGTTGTCGCCACGCCTCTGAAAATACTTTATTCCCGGAACTTTGGTTAAAAGAAATAATCCTCTGTTGGTCAAATTTCTTGTTTTGAGCACAGCCCCGCCTCTGACATGCGCAGCGCTTCCCACTACATGCTTGGCAACCATTCACAAAATTCGTCAATGTGAAAGAAAACAGATGGCGACTAACACGTAAGGATTGTCGACCTCAACCTCGATCGGCCCACAAGAATCTCGACCGAACATAAAAGATGGTCTGTATCCGAGAGACTTGCGAATATAATCTGAGCATGAATGCGTTGCGAACTTTAAGGACATCTGAATTGTCTGGTAAAGCCCTTTTAAATAATACAGCTGTTTTTGAAAAAAACAAGTTGTTCCCTTACCTGTGGCTCCTCGGCAAAACTGTGGTCTACCCGGAATCAGTTAGGAAAATGTGGCACCATCTCACGGCGGCTGCATAGTGCATAATTTTAACCGCATGATGTTGTCACGCAGGAATAACATAACATGGCGTTACGACCACGGAATGCTACGCTGCCTCTGCACTTCCTGTGGGCGATCTTTCTCGAAACTATCCATCCAGTCTCGCCGTAAGTCGAAGTGTGCGGGGGACAAACCACCATCGTAAGCATAAAATGATCAGTGTCTTCCTGTATTGTGGGAAATCGCTGTATTAAAATTCGCTTATTGACGTTGTCCAGCAGGTTTCGACGAGGGACGTTAGCAAAGATTATCTGGCAATTTTCTTTATGGAAAAATGAAAGAGCAGCAACCCAGCGAATTCCAACGTCGCAAAAGCAGTTTTCTCGAAACGTGAGTGAGAGACAGTAGTCCTCATCCTTGGACCTTTGAAGCATCTCATTCCTCAGCATGACCCACGTGATTTATTTATTGCTACCGACAAGTGATCGCAATGCGTTTTCGTGGTCTGCAAAGTTTCGAAATGGTGCCAATTTTTGTGATATCACCTGACACACGAACTGCCTCTAGCTGAGACAAATTTTCTGGGATTTTTCAGCGGGTATCGTTAACACGTTATGTATCGATATATATATATATATTATATATATATATATATATATATATATATGTACATATATATGCAAACACACACACACACACATATATATACATATATATATATGTATATATATATATATATATATATATATATATCCGTCACTTTGCGAAGTTCTCGAATGTGTCCGAACAACCAAATAAGACACCATATTGCAATAATTTCAGACAAAAACAAAAACGGGATGATCTGTAGCCCGCCTGTGCACACCCACTGCCCAGCTCGACTCTTCCTGTTTATTTCAGCTGGGAACAGGTCGATTTCAATTAAAACCAGATCATTTTAAAGTAGGGGAACGAGGAAGTGCGGCTTGTATGTTTTGCGTGGGTGTGCGATCATCGCCAATGCTGCTGATCCAAATGTCACGTCCCTCCCCCGCACCGCACTCGAGTGGGACGGTGGTCCACAAGCTCGTTGCAAGGGGGCTGCAGACTCCGGTAACGAAGCAGTGACCGTGGATTCGACAGCTCGCCACAGGGTTGGGTCGCTGCCATCAGCGTACGACCCAAGGCCACACAGGAGCTAGTGACTATGCAATGACAGGCGACATCTCCTCCCCATAGCATATCCTCACAAATATGCAGTTTTGAAAATATTACGCCTGGTGCACGCCGTGCCACTAAAACACATCTGAACTGCATTGTAAGGCCCAGGGTAAATCCCGAGTCTGAATCCAAGACGTTCGCCAGGGTATTTAAAAAGAACGGTGCGAACCCCCAGACTTGAATCCCGTGAACCACATGAGATCTCTCCAACAGCGCAGGCAAGGCAAGCAAGCATGCGCCACGAGCGCGTATTTCTCCCGTAAACTAGCTCAGATTGGGGGGTTCTGTGGCGTCGGAGATTCGAGCCCCTGCTCTCCTAAAATACTGAAGTCGAACACTCCTCACACGCAGACACACACACGTGCAGAGTATAATCTCAGTCATATTGCCACAGCCACGCACGTGCGCTTGAGCGCGCTACATCCTCGTCCTGAAGACATCTTGCTGGTGGCGGGAAGCAACTCCGGCCACGCCAGCCAGCCCGGCGCGCAGACAACGGCCGCGCATCGCACCAGGCGCAGCGCAGCGGCGGCGCGCGCCACCGTGGCTGGGCGTCAGTGGAGCGCGGGCCGGGGTCCGACGGTGACCCGGAGCCAGCCGGCGAGGTCAGGCCGCAGCGGGCCCAGCTGCAGCACGTCCCCCTCGGCCGTCATGTACACGTCGACCGGCGCCTGCAAACGGAGCCGCGTCAGCCGGCCGTCTCGGCTCGGCACCCCGCTCCTGGCGCACGCCCGAACACGGACTGCACCCCGGCGGCCGGCTCTCCTGCCCGACGCCGGGGCAGGCGGGTGTGGTGCTTACTGCGGTGCGCACTGGTGAACTCGGAGACGCCACAGCTGTCAGGCACGTTCTTGTATCACTCAAAAAGCTCGTTACAGACGTGATCGCGCATTGGAAGGTAACACTTCTGGGTACAACGTTGCCAACAGATCACATAAATTGTTGCAACTAGCGCGCACGTTGAAGGCACGCAGCAGGCCGGGCACCAGTTCGCTCGCTCGCTGGCTGTGACGTCACACTGCCCAGACGTGCTCCGGTGTGTGATCTGGCGAGCATCGCGGTCTTTCCACCGCGCCCACCCCTGCACGCACGCCATCGGTCTCCCGGGAACCCCGTCTGTGCGAATGTCATGGCGCTTATGCTGTCGGCTTGAAAGGGTGCCACCCTCACCACCATGCCCAACATGATATCCCTCACCGAACACTTCAGACCCGTTCTTATATCAATACGTAGCCACCTGCACCGCCAATGCCACTGCATTGGTTGTCACACCCAGCAGCGGGCGTCGCCGATCTGGAAGCAACCACAAGCGACCACCACTGGATCTGCCGCCGCGGCGTGCACATCTGGATCTACCATCGTATCTCAGGACGATCGTCACCGAATCGACACTAGTGCCCGGTGTAAAGCGCTGCCAGGTTTGTCTTCAGCCATCTTTCGTCCCCCGAGCCGCCACGCAGGGCGGCCTGACAACACTCGCGGATGTCACTGGCAACGGAAGACCACACGGCCCTGCCGGAGGCGGGGCAGGGCGCCCGCGCGTGGCGTCATTGGAAGGGTAGACCCTCGCCGGTGCATATCCGGATACCAGGGAACGCGTGTACACACCCTTAAGAGCACGGTGGCACATTGTCAGGGCTACAAGATACCCGCCGACCACATAGAGAACAGCCATATCGGCACACATGGCTAAAGAGCCATCCCTGAGGCCACACCTATGCACGGCATTATATGAAAGTCCCAATAATCGATACAATGGCTGGCTGCATGCACAGCCGCCCCACGCCGTAAGGCACCAGCCGACAGACTTCTGTACGTGATTCGATCTTCCGGACGGCACAGCACACGTACGGAGCGCCGCAGCGTTCTACTCGAACACCGCACCATCTGCTCTCAAGGATAGCGTGCATGAACAGCCATCGAGCTGCCCCCTGAGGTGGTCTCGCTCGGCACCCTCCAGTGAACAGTCTCGACTACAGCGCTGCGACATTGGAACGGACCGGCACACCACCCCAAAACCAAAGCCAGCCGCCCGGTCAGCGACCGCCAGCTGGCGCGCCCGTCCCGGCGGCGGCCCCGGCCGGGGCGACGGCGGCGGCGGCGGCGACGGTGGCGCGGGCTCATCCGACGGTCACCTGCAGCCGGCCGCCGACCGAGCGCGCCCAGGGTTCGTGCAGCGCCGCCACCAGGTCGGCGAGCGTGGCGCGCGTGGCCGCCTCCAGCAGCCAGCTGTGCTCAGCCGCCGAGCCGGCGTCGCGGAACAGCAGGCGCAGTGACGGCCGGCCGGCGTCGGCGCCGCCCAGCAGCTCCTGCCGCACGCGGGCGCACTGTCAGGCCTCGGACGGGTGCGGAGTCGCCGCCGCACAGGTCAGGCAGACGTCACCAGGCACGGACGCACAGACGTCGCCAGACAGGTCAGGCGTGGAAAGACAGACGTCACCAGATAGGTCAGGCATGGAAGGACAGACGTCACCAGACAGGTCAGGCATGGATAGACGGACGTCACCAGACAGGTCAGGCATGAAAAGACAGGAGTCACCAGACAGGTCAGGCATGCATAGACAGACGTCACCAGACAGGTCAGGCGTGGATAGACAGACGTCACTAGGCAAGTCAGGGACTGGTGCGAAGCTTTCTGGGTTGTTTCAACATGAATAAACGCTTTTTGGGGCCGTAACATGCACCTCATTCTTCATCCCAGCTCCAGGGTTACAAAACATTTGGAACAGCGCAACCCCATAACAGCAAATGACTCATAAAAAGCCAAAAAGTAACTGACAGACTGACTACCAAGAGACCAATAAACAACCACCAGAGCGCGAATGTAAAATGTCGTGAATGGGTCAACTGAGAGATTCGTGAAGTTTCTGGGCATGGACGGGAGCGTAAAAACAAGTAAGAGACTATGCGACAAGGAATAAAATAATGGTACCGCTAGGATTGTGACAGAGAGATGATTGAAGGCAAGCAAACAAAATGCGACAAACATAACCAGGTGGACTTACATTATGCCGTACAGAACCAGCGAGATTGGACTCAGTTCAACAGAAATAAAACTCAAAGCAAAGAACGCGGACAAAAGTAACGGGGCATTAACAGACGCCCGTCAGAAGGGGAGCTGCAGCGTGTGCTGGGGAAGCCGGAAGGCCAGCCGCCGTCAATGCTGTGTGAACCGCCACCGGTAGAACGCTGCAACGCAACTCTCTGCTCCGCCCACGCCCAGCCCTCTGACGTCAGCCGGAGCTGGCTGGAGGGAGGTCAGCCGCCGGGGTTCTCCCTGGCCGGCGCGTCGGCAGCCCTGCGCTCGTCTGTTTTGTCCGACTCTGGCCGCCCCCGACCGCTCCGCTGGGAAAGCGGGCCGGGCGGCGGTATGTCCGGCTCACGCCGCCAGCGGGCCGGCCCTCTGACCATGTGCGGTGGCCTTGACGGTCGACCTCTCCGGCCACCAGGTGAACCAGGGGAAGGCGGCCGCCGGCGGCCAGCGGAGGGGAGGGGAAGGGGCGGCGGTGGGAGTCCAATCCGGCGGCCGGTGGGAGATTCGACAATGTTTAACTTTTGGTCGGTTCGGCGAGGAGGCAACAGCCGGCGTCATCTCGCGAGCAGTGCGGCAATGTTCTGGTCGCTTCTGTTGCTCAGCACGGGCTCTATGAATGCTGTCTTCATGAGGCGCAATGGCATAGCATCTAAATGGTCTGCTTATTAGACTGCGTGCGATCTGACAGACCTTGACCTGAAAGCCTGGATTGCCGGGGGGAAGCATGCGGCATGACAGATATGACAGTGGTCACGTCAACTTTCTGACGAAAGTTGATGTAGCCACGATCGATAATAAGCAATGAGCACGATTGCTACATTTCTTCGATGACCGATTCTCATTTTCCAAATAGACGACCTCTTCTAAAGTTCGGGAAAACAGCCTCCACAGTGCAACTTCCTTAAAGCCTCGCCTGACGCCGCGTGTTGACCTCCCTCAACGTCCATCAACCAGCACAGGGTCAGGGACGGGGCCTCGACCGCGCAGACGGGTACTGGGCGGCGGCCACCAGCTACAACAGCGCACCTCGGGCCGGCCCCGCCGCCGGGTCGCCTGGCGTGAGCCCGCCGAGCGGCCTCCGAGAGCCACACCGCTCTAATTGGTCCCGGCGTCAACACGCGCGCCGCGGCCAGCGCTGGACTCGCCCGCACCGTCCGGCCCGGAGTGTTTGCCCTCGCTCGGCCGCGGTATGCATACACGTGGGCCGCTGTGCCGCGCCCTCCATGGGTTTCCCAGGCGATCGCTGAAGTTTACAGGCGGTGGGGACGCAAACCCATAGATCTAAACGGAGCTGGAACAAGCTGAGGCGTTTCCATGTGACAGCGCTGCATACAACAGACCCATCAAAAATGATGAAATGTGTTTGTTTTAGCCTGAATCTTACCCCTTCCCCCCGAACAAAAGTGGTTAGGAAGGACCATCGCGGAGGGGATGTCTTTCACACGCACGGCACAAAAAAAAATGTGGACAATGGCGCACACAAGGTGGGAAGAAGTGAGACAACACGAACATACAAACGCCGCGTGTGAACTGCGCTTGGCCCAAGCGGTCAGTTAGAATGAACCTGAGTTATTCATCCACAAAGAAACCATTTTTTTTTTACCCCAACGACCATCACATTTTCCCCTTATATTTGTACCGTGAGCTTTGATAATGGCGGGTGCAGGAACATCCAACTAAGAGCAAATCTAGAACCTACGTGGACTTGGCTGAGATCTCGTAACATACTGCGGTACACACTTTGCCTGGAAATGGCTGAACATACTAACTGCAGTTACAAATGAGATTTGCACGCAGTTTCCTTTCACAGATGAGTGGTGGACTCAAAGACGAAGACAGGTAGGAGCGGGGAGTGGAGGGCACGGCATAGTTTAATGTCGGTCCACTAGCTGGATAGACAAACGACACGTGGAAAGCAGGTGGCCCCCAGTAACATGCAGGGTATCGCGAGTCTGCAAACTTCCGACAGACACAGCACTGGCTGACTCCCAGTTAGCCAACCAGGCGACGTCGATGACAGTTCACCACAAGAGGCAACGGCCTATAGAAAAACACACACCTTCTCACTTTAACAGTTCAAAGCGCCCAACAGACCACGGCAGGCCCAGGCACTCCACCACAGCCGGACCACGGCCACATCCCGCACCGGTCGCGCGCGCCACTCACCACGCCGACGATGTTGGCCACCTTCTCCCGGTCGCGCATCGGTATCTTGACCTGGCCGTTCCCGGGCACGAGCCAGCGCAGGTCGCACTCCATGAGCAGCATGTCAGAGGGCGTCACACACAGCATGACGGGCGCACGCTCTGCCGGCACGCAGGGGTGGCTGCGTCAGCGCCGACCCGCCGCTCCTCCCGGGCCGGCCACACGCGAGCGGCAGAGGCGGAGCCGGCACCGCCGACCGCTGAGACCGGAGCAGCATGATACACTGACGGATTAGTTGGACATCGAGCCCCAGGTCGAGCTTTGATGTATGGTGGAGTTGACGCCCCTGTCAGGCCGTGACGGGGTGACGCCTGATCACCTCCCCGACACCCCACCCCAGGCGTGGAAGCCTCAGCTCGCCTGAAAGCTCGACCAGGGATTCGATGTCCAATTACGACCTTCAATATGCGTCGACCGCACGAAGATAACGTGTGTTACACAAGCACTACAACGCAGCCCAAGTCCCAACCACATGTGTATCGGCGCGGACGGCAGCGGGCCCGGCCGGCCCGTCGGACGAGCCGCTCACCGTGTCCAGTCGCCACCAGGTCGACGAACAGCAGCTGGCTGAGACGGAGGTCGGCGGCACTGTCGCCCGACAGCATGTGCTCCACCTGCTGCTGCTGCACGCGCTGCCAGCGCTCCGACACGGCCGCCCTCCCGCACGCCTCTGCCGGGCCGGCCACGAGCGGCGTCAGCCACACACGCGCACGCACACACGCCGCGCGATGCACGTCCATGCATGCGTGCACGCGCAAGCGGACCCGCGCGCACACGCAGACGCGCACGCCCACATCCATCCACACATACACATCCCGCATTCCTATATACGCTCGCAGCACCATCCATAGGTGCTGGAGGGGCTGGTGTTCACACGACGCGCCGCACGAGCAGCCGGTGCGGCGCGTCGTGTGAACTGGCCGTCGGCCAGTCCACACGACGCGCCGACTGAACATGACTGGCCGTCGGCCAGTCATGCGCCACCGGACTGAGGCTGTAGTGGCGGGGGTGCCGGCCCGCGGAGGCGGAGGTGGACGCAGGGTGGGAGGGGCGTCCAGGTACCGCAAAAAGCTCCTACACATCGAATATCTATCAGTGTAGATAATAAAAATCGAAGCACTAAGCCGAGTCGATTCCTCAGCTCCCACAACAAAGAGCTACGGACCGGAAAACCCGGTTACATATACGACACCACAGTCGCGCAATACCCTACACCCAGATCGGGAATTGACACACAACATCTGCATGCAACTGAAACGCATGTCACTGGCCGCGACCACGTGAGCCATGAGGGTCGCTGATGATGGCCACGAGCCCTGTCCGATGGAATGATGTCACCGATAGAACGCTGGCGCAGGGCGGGGCATACCACTGCGGCTCAACCGAGGCCTGGCAGCAGTGCTTCACAGGACATCGGTGGGAACAGAAGACCCGATCGGACAGAACCTGCACCCTCAGCCCGAACTTGCTCACACATGGCGAGCCACAGCAACTAGATCAAGCGGCATCTCACATTTCAAGCGCAAGTTCCACGATATCTAGCGCGGGAGTGCATTAACTACCGCGGCGTTACACAATCACTGGATTCCATCCCTTCCTGAGGGGAAGAACGACACAAACAGGTAAGTGACAAGCCTCTGTCCTGAGCGGCGTGGACCGCCGTCTTACCGCGCATGTGGCGCAGCAGGAGCCGGCCGCGATCGGCGTCGCGCACCAGCAGCAGCAGCTGGGTGTTGAGCGCCGGCTCCTGCCCGGTCAGCTGCAGGCCGAGGCCGCGGCAGTGCAGCAGGGTGCCGAGCGAGGTCACCTCGGCCAGCGGCCGGCTCAGTCGCGGCCGCAGCCAGCGCTCCAGCCGCTCGCTGCAGCAGGGAGACGGGGCTGGGGTCAGACACTGGTACAGCCGCTCGCTGCAGCAAGGGAGAAGGGGCTGGGGTCAGACACTGCTACAGCCGCTCGCTGCAGCAAGGGAGAAGGGGCTGGGGTCAGACACTGGTACAGCCGCTCGCTGCAGCAAGGGAGGAGGGGCTGGGGTCAGACACTGGTACAGCCGCTCGCTGCAGCAGGGGAGACGGGGCTGGGGTCAGACACTGGTACAGCCGCTCACTGCAGCAGGGGGGACGGGGCTGGGGTCAGACACTGGTACAGCCGCTCACTGCAGCAGGGAGACGGGCCTGGGGTCAAACACTGGTACAGCCGCTCGCTGCAGCAAGGGAGAAGGGGCTGGGGTCAGACACTGGTACAGCTGCTCACTGCAGCAGGCGAGACGGGGCTGGGGTCAGACACTGGTACAGCCGCTCGCTGCAGCAGGGGAGACGGGGCTGGGGTCGGACACTGGTACAGCCGCTCACTGCAGCAAGGGAGACGGAGCTGGGGCCAGACACTGGTACAGCCGCTCGCTGCAGCAGGGGGACGGGGCTGGGGTCAGACACTGGTACAGCCGCTCACTGCAGCAGGGGGACGGGGCTGGGGTCAGACACTGGTACAGCCGCTCACTGCAGCAGGGGAGACGGACTGGGGTCAGACACTGCTACAGCCAAGACACAGAGAGGACCGTGGTCAGACAGGGGAGACCTTGGTTATGCAGACAGAGCTACCCACACAGAGGATTACGCCGAGACATGCGCAACTTAGCTATTGTGGGAGATTGGTCACGTGGAGGGGACTGTATAAGCTGTGGCCATGCAGAGAAAACTAGTCAGCGAGTAGAATTTTGGCCGGAATGGGTTGAGGCAGCGCAGCCCATACACGGTGAACCACATTACATGCTTGTAATCTATATCGAAACTATGGAAGGTTGGATTTATGGCCCAGAAATCTAGCTGCATTTCAAAAATTCAAAGATAATACAATCATCTAGAGATAAGACGACTAGAGACTGTGGCCATAAGCCATGTCTGAGTACAGCCCTGCCACACGCCACGTAATCATCTGCGGATGCGACGGATCTCCCAGCGCGGTTCGAGGGACAGAAGGGGAGGCTGGGCGGCGCCATGGTAGCGGTCCAGGTAAACAGGGGTGACAGGAGCCCTTCACTCTCCCCCGCCGAGGTCAGCGGAGGGGAAGGGGAGGAGGGGGGACCGGCGGACCCCTCGACCGGACGGCGCCGTCCCCACCGCACGGCGCCCCCGGCCAGACCCGAGGCAAACCGGCCGGGCCGTGACGGGACGGGCCGGGCCGGGCCGGCCGTCGCACACCGCAGTGATGGCGGGTGAGTGGACGGTGCGCGTGGCGCTGGTGGGCCTGCTGGCGGCGGCAGCGGCCGGCCGTCGGCAGCCGCAGCCCTACCTTGACTGGTTCACGCTGGAGAGTGCCGACCCGCAGCTGCCGTCGCAGCGGATCCAGGTGACCATGTACCCGGACCCGGAGCACGACTACGTGCGCCACCCGATCGCCGGCTCGCCGTGGTCGCCGGCCCCCATCGGCACCGGGCCGCCGCTGACGCCACAAGAGGCGCGCCAGCTGGCCGCGTGGCAGCAGCAGCAGACGCAGCAGACGCATGGCCACAACCGACACACCGGCTGGAAACAACACGGCAATGGCGAAGCGGAGCAGCCTATTGTGACCGACCAGCGGCTACCAGTCTGGAATCTGCATGAAAACGGTGAAGTAGAGCAGCCTATTGCGACGGACCAGCAGCCGCCAGTCTGGAATCTGTATGAAAACGGCGAAGCAGAGCAGCCTATTGTAACGGACCAGCAGCCGCCAGTCTGGAATCCATATTACAATGGCGAAGCGGAGCAGCCTATTGCGACGGAGCAGCGGCCGCCAGTCTGGAATCTGTATGAAAACAGCGAAGTAGGGCAGCCTATTGTGACGGACCAGCAGCAGCCAGTCTGGAATCCATACCACAATGGCGAAGCGGAGCAGCCTACTGTGACGGACCAGCAGCTGCCAGTTTGGAATCCATACCACAATGGCGAAGCGGAGCAGCCTATTGTGGCGGACCAGCAGCCGGCCGCCTGGCCCCAGCAGCTGGCCTGGAGTGGGCCGCCGGCCTGGCTCGGCCCGACGCCAGGACCGTCGCCTCCCGAGCAGAGCGTGACGCCCCAGCCAGACTGGACTCCCGACCGGCTGGTGGTAGCTGGCCAGGGACAATGGCTGCTCGGTGTACCCGCAGGAGAGCCGGCAGCGGGCGGGGCTGGCACCGACGAGGGCGAGCCAGGGCCAACCAACACCATCCCACATAAAAATACGCCCAAGAAGCACACCACATCATCCACAACCACTACCCTGCAGGATCACACAACCACCACAGAGAAACCAACTACCACGTCATCCACGACCATCCTAAAGATGTCTGCAACCACGACCGAGAAACCAACCACCACATCACCCACCATCACTACCCTGCAGGCGTACACAACCACCACCGAGAAGTCAACCACCACATCACCTATGACCACCCTAAAGGTGCCTACAACCACGACCGAGAAACCAACCACATTATCCACCACTACTACCCTGCATGCGTATACAACCACGACCAAGAAACCGACAACCACCCTAAAGACACCTACAACCACGACCGAGAAGCCAACAACCACATCATCCACGACCACCTCGAAGAAGTCTACAGCCACGACCAAGAAACCACCCACCACCACATCATCCACAAACACCTTAAAGGCGTATACAACCCCAACAAAAGAGCCAACCACGCCCAAGCCGTCTCCAACCACGGTGCAACCGTCTACAACGGCGGCTGAGGCATCAACAGCTCACACAACAACAGCAGGCACACCCGTCACCTTGCCGGTGACCACCACCGAAGCAGCCCTGCAAGTCAGCCAACCATCGAACTCCACCTCCTCCCCGCCGTCACGCCTCTACGAGAACGGCACCGCACCAGCCGACACCGCGCAGCCGTCCCACACATCAGGTCCGGGCGAGGCGCCGGCCCCTGCTGGCGCCGGGGGCGGCCGACCGGAGCGGCCAGCCCGTGTGAAGCGGCCCAAGTCGCTGCTGGCGCGGCTGGTGGAGCCGCTGCTGAGCTGGCCCCGCCGCCGGCATCCTTCGCTGCTGCACCGGCTCGCCGGCCACCTGACGCTGCGGCGCCGGCGGGCGGTGGCTCGGCGCCAGACAACCGCCGCACCAGGTACTGATCGCCGCGGCGGCTGCCAGCGGCCGCGCGACGCGCCGCCCATACGCACGGGGACAGGACGCCCACCCGGGCAGTGATACGGCCGGGGATGGGACGCCCACACGGACACCGGGGACGGCCAGGGATGGGACGCCCACACGGGCACCGGGGACGGCCGGGGATGGGATGTTCACACGGGCACCGGGGACGGCCGGGGATGGGATGTTCACACCGGCACCAGCGGTGACTGAGGTGAGGAGCTGACACCAGACCGGACGGCGCGGGAGCGGGACGCCTGTGTCTGCTTCTGTGACCGCCGGGTATGTCGGGCGAGGTCCGCTCACCGTCCGGTGGCGTGTCGTATTGTGACAAACGCACCGGATCACCGCGACTGGCGGGAAGAGTCGCATGCCGTAATCATCCGACAGCGAAGTGGGGGGGGGGGGGAGGGGGGTCGGCGTCAGGGAACAACATGCCGGGGTTCCCGGGGACCGCCAGAGAACACCATGCCGGTGTTCGCGGGGCCGCCAGGGGACACGGGTAAGGACACGCTCCGTGCGGACGCGGGAGATATTCGAGACGCAGTCTCGCCACTGTACAGTCTGGCTAGCCGCGTGGCCGCTATAAACAACGCGGAGTCGAAGCTGGATGAGGGATGTCGCCTCACAGGGAATACACGGGCTTCAGGCGCGGTGCCCGAAAGAGCTCTGCCACAAATGCAATTTCTGTTTCCAACTTCAACCCCAGAGCCGCTGCCATACCGTGCCTTGTGTACTTCCAGGCGCCGGCAAGCGCCATCCCATATTGAAACGCCCTGTCAATTTTGTCAAGTTGGTGTCCTTCCCCATGCGAGAGTACGTCCTGCTATGCTCCGGGCACATTGCATTCTATCGCATCAATAGTCACGCAAGTCGTGACCGTCATAAAACGGGCACGTACACACAGCAACCAATTCCATGCGTTTCAAAACTAATTCAATAGACAGTCGAAAAAATACACTTGTATTCCAGCTGTCCAAGCTTCGGGGAGGGGGGGCGGGGGAGGGCGCCCGTTACTGCTCCCGTTGAAATTGCAACCGCACGAAGGGCGGGTGGCTGGTGATCACAAGGCGCAGGCAGCTCGGGGGTTGCAAACTCGCTCCACCCTCCTTTACTTCGGCTTCAGTACGCTGCGTTTCACGTACGGACAAACCCCGCCCAGGCCGGCATTCCGCCGGAGAGGCGACGGAACTCCGACAGACCGTGCCGAGAGGCCAGGCCGCTCGGTGCCGCCCCTGAGTGGCGCAGCAGACCGGCCCGGCGGCGGTCCACGCTAACATCGCCGGACGAACCCTGTGCCGACAGCGCGGCTGCGGCTACTGGCCGGCCGCGCGCCGAGGAGCGGCACCGGCGGTGCCCGGCGGGCCGCGAGCCGCCCTGCCCAGCCGGACCCGTTGGTCGCCTTGCACGTGTACTACGAGCCGCTCTGCTGGGTAAGCGCGCACCTCTGGTGGAGGTCGCGAGGCCGGTCCGGCCGCCGGCCGGCGGTGCACACTCACGCCCTCCGACATATGTGCGGATCGACTGGCGACCCGGAGCTCAGCGTGTCGGTTCCGGTGATGACCCGCTGTCTGTGCGTCAGGGCAGGCGACAACCCACTGTCCAGCGAGCCGCGCCACCACGCCACACCAAAAGCAGTGCCGCATCCCGTCTGCGCCGCCGCCTGCGCGCTGCTTGCCGCCCACTGACGTACTCCCCGCCGCCCGCTGACGCGCCGCCCGCCGCCCGCTGACGCGCCGCCCGCCGCCCGCTGACGCGCCGCTCGCCGCCCGCTGACGCGCCGCCCGCCGCCCGCTGACGCGCCGCCCGCCGCCCGCTGACGAGCCGCCCGCCGCCCGCTGACGAGCCGCCCGCCGCCCGCCGCAGCTGGAGGAGCCGGAGCCGCTGTGTACGCTGACGACGGCCGATGTGGCGGCCGTGTGCGCGGCGGACGGCGAGCCGGGCCAGCTCACCCTGCAGGCGGCCTGTGCCGCCGGCACCTACTGCCAGTACCAGCTGCCGCACTACGACGGCGCCCACTCCGAGGTCGCCGAGAACTGCCTCAACCGAACGTAATTAGCGCCGCGCATGGCACGCGTGCGGGGGAGGGGGGGGGGGGGGGGCGTCGCAGGCCGACCGGAATGTACGTCGAGAAACTCTGGGCACGTTCACCATTACATGCGGGTGACCAGGGCTCCTAGCCAAGCGCAACGCACGCCAGCGTTATTAATATTCCATGACCAAGAAGTCAGGAGGGCAGCAGTTCTGGAGACAGCGTCATTGGACACCCCAAGGTGGGCGTAATACGGCGGCGGCCGCCACGTCTCACGACCCGCACGGTGACAGGCCTGCACGCACGCGGCGCCGGCACCTTCCGACCGCCGAGGCCGGGTCACGCGACCGCCGCCGGCAGACGGTCAGAGCTTGGCTCCGTGTCCCTCGCCCACTGCGCTTGGCACGCCGCCCGGTCAGGCTTATGTGATCGTACTGGGTGTTTAAGGGCGCCCCGACTTCATGGTCATTTTAAGCCTGCACTAAAACAGCCGGCTTAATTTGGTTGGGTCGAGGCACTACTGTTGATCGCCTGCCATCCCGCTATTCATAGATGACTGTGACAGTTCGTCTGGTCGTAGGGACTTTACGACGCACTTAGCTGCTGAGACCATATGGTGTCGCCTGCCTCTCACCCTGGCAGGAAGGGTGATTCCGCGGGGATTCGAACCCCGCACCTCTGGTCTCCCAGACGCGCAGCGGTTAACGCAGACGCGTTAACCATTACGCTGTCGGCACCTCGACTGTGACAGTTCATCATATTCATAAACTGTCAGTGAAACGGTCACAAAGGATGCCGAAGTCGAAGCGCACTACAACTGCACGTCCGTTATCTCACACTGTGGTACCCCTGAGCCGAGAGAGGAGCTCTGCGGGGAAGCGGCGCCGCCGGCTCGCAGTCACAGCGACGGCACGGAATGGACCCTGGCTGCGGCCCCCCGGTGCGGCGCGCTGTGCCCGCTTCCCAGACCGAAACTCGTCGGTCATTTGGATATTAGGCCGGCGGCATGCTCCGGCGCCGCGCGCTGTCAGCGGCCCGCGGCCCGCGCACGGAAGGCCCGACCCGGCCCGGTCGCAGGTTTATTTAGCTATGCATCGTGGATTAGTTTCCGATGAATGGCCGGAGTCAACAGGGCTATTGGTTAAAGTTATGACCAAATGTATGGTAAAGGTAAATCATATAATGGCTACATACCCTGGTTTGCCAGTGGCGTTCATTTCAACCAACGGCGTAAGACCAAACAATCGTGGGAGTTCAGCCAGCCCTTGCCTTCATCAACGTCAGAGGATATGATCAGATCGTTTTCCAGAGACATTTCGAGCGGCAAAGTTGTTTTTTTTTAACCACGGTCATGTCTTCGGCTGAACCGGCACCGTCCACCGAAAAAAGCATAACGGACGTGCGAGAAAACTCAGGGCGGTAACACCGGTGGCCAAGGAACCAGAGGACCGGTGGTGGCGGAGATGGGAGACAGCAAAACAGCCGCCGTACCAACGGTGGTGTGCTGCGTCGCCAGAGGTCGCCATCTCCGGCGGGGTGCCCGACACCTTCGCCGGCACACGGGCTGTGTCCGGCACGTAGGATCCCGAGACCAGCAGTCCCGGGTCCCACTGAAAGGCTGACGATAGGCCGGGCCGGGGATCCCACCCGAGCGATGGTCGCTAGCGATACGCGGGCCTCTAACGCCTGCCGGTGGGACGAGACCAGGCTTGGCCCGTCACGACCCGCCGTGACGGGCCGAGGCGGGGGTGACGGGCACCGGCCTCGGCCCATCACTGAGGGGTCGACCGTGCCCGCCCCGGCGATAGGCGCGCGGCCAACGCCGTCCAATCAGAGCCGCGGTGGCAGCGGCCAGCGGCTGGCAAGCGGCCGTGTTAATCAGGCCGGCCGGCCGCCGCGCGGCGCCGACGGCCGCTGACGCGTCCCCGCTCTCCGTTACAGGGTGATCGGCTTCTGCTGCCTGCCGCCCGAGCTGAGAGCGGAGCTCGGCGACACGGACTCCGACGGCGACACGGACGCCGACGGCGGCACGGAATCCGACGGCGACACGAACTCTGACGGCGACACGGACTCCGACAGCGCTGAGCCCACTGAGCAAGGGACTGTTCACGCAGACTCCAACGAGTCTGCCGCTACCAGCATCGAGTCAAGCAACGGCGAGTCCGCCGAAACCGCTTACTCAAACTCCACCGAGTCTGGCGCTGCGAGCATCGAGTCAAGCGATGACGAGTCTGCCGACGCCGGGACTGCTTACAATTGACTCCACCGAGTCTGCCTCTGCCAGCATCGAGTCAAGCATCGGCGAGTCTGCCGATGCCGGGCACGCTTACACAAACTCGACTGAGTCTGCCGCTGCTGGCATCGAGTCAAGCAACGGCGCGTCCACCGACAACGGGAATACTTTCACAAACTCCACCGAGTCTGCTGCTGCCAGCATCGAGTCAAGCAACACTGGCGACGGGACTGCTTACACCGACTCTACTGAGTCTGCCGCTGTCAGCATCGAGTCAAGCAACACCGACGACGGGACTGCTTACACAAACTCCACCGAGTCTG